CTTTGCTGATACTATTCTACATTGTCAAAAGAGAAGATTATCACTGTTCTACATTTGAGGGGGAGAATGTTAGAAGCTTTTCTCAACAAAAGATTGTCTGAATTTTTTTTTTTTTGAAGAAGTCATAAAGTGCTTAAAGTGACAAAGATCAAACGAGATTCAAAACGCGTAAATTCTTTCAAGCCTGAATACAAAGGGGGAGAATTTTAGGACTGAATTTTAGTATAAATTGTATTCGTCTTGAAAGTTACTATTGTCTATAATTAGAAAGTCATTGTGTTTGACTTTTCTTATGTAGTTTGACTTTGACTTTGAGGGTTATTGTTTGACCCTATAAATAGATTAGTCTTAGTGTATTTTGTAGAGGAGATTTCATTTGTAAATTGTACGTAAAGTTTGAGAGTAATAAAGCATTGACCAAGATTGACTTTCTCTCTTTGTCTCTCCTCTCATGTTCTTGAGTGTTAAATCATAGATTGCCATGGATTCATTGAAGATTGATCATTTTGAGGACTATCATATTCTTTTTAGCTCAAAAACCAAAAATTAAAACATTTTGGCTCGGATCCTAAACTGATTTGTTCAGAAGCCATATACATTTCAGCTCGGGTCCTGAACCGTTTTGTTTAGAAACCATATACATTTCAGCTCGGGTCCTAACCATTTTGTTCAGAAACCATATTCAGACAGAATACAAACTCCCCCTGCATCAGTGTATCATAGTAATGATTTTCTTATCAGCACAATATATGACACACCTGCAAAACAGATCAAGTAGATTTTGGTACTCAAACAAACTTGGGTCCTACTTGGTTAGTATTGGGCTAGGGAATGTTGTAACTGCCAGACCATCTACTCATGTTAGATGTATTTTTTAGCACTTTTAACAGACATATCAGATAAACAATAAGATCCATACCAGTTATTGTCATACCTGTTAAAACAATTTCAGCTATTCTGATAGCTGTTGTCCTCATACCATCTGTTGTACCTTTTCCTATTGACAAAATCATTGGTTCTGCATGTTGAGCATATGATTCTTCTCTTGCTAAGATTGATCAGATCATTAGTGGATCTCACAAACCAAGGAAGAACAAGGTTAGTAACAACAGATTTATGAGACACAACAATATCAGCTTTATTGACCCAAACATGTTTAGCTTTTGAATAATAATTGGGTGATCCAATGACATACCCTTGATAATACTGATTTGAATAACGAGACTTGTTCTTAGAAACAGTTGACTTAGGGCTGTTTGAATAACTGTTAGATTTAACGTTGGAACAGTCATAAAAGCTAGTTTTTACATTGAGATTGAGAACCAGTTGAGCTTTTAGCGCTTGAAAAGTCTTTTACTTTCTTGAGTAACTGGTCTCTCTCTTCAGCAACTAAATCGTATTTCTTTTTTCAGTTCAGATATCATGTTCAACTCAGTAACAAGTTATGTCTCTATATCTGACAATTTCTTTGAAGATTCCAAAAACTTACCTTCTAACTCCTTCTTCAACTTTTCAAAAACTTTCCTTTCTTTCTCAAATTCCTTTCTCTCTTCATCTGAACTTCCCTTTTCAATTTCAGAAGCAATGTAATGGCTTCTCTGTAAGTTCTTTGACAATTGCAGCATATTTCTTGGCAGTGTTTTTCTTTTCAAGAACAAACACTCTCTTCTCTTCATCTAATGCTTTCTTTTTCTGAACAATACTATCAAATAATTCAAAATTCTTGCTTAGACATTCTTCTTTAAACTTTTTCTTTTCTTTATCAAACTTGGCTCGTTCCAAGATGATAACTTGTTCAAAGTCAGATATTTGCTTTGAAAGCATTTCAGCATTCAGCTCCAATGAGTTAATTTTACTTTCAAAAGATTTTCGTTCAGTATCAAATCTTTTCTCAGCTTCTATCATCTTTTTCTTCTCTTTCTCCAAATTTTTCTGTTCAGTAACCAAACTCTTCTCAGCTTCTAAAACCTTGTCTTTCTCCTGTTCCAGTAATTTCCTTTCATCAACAACTCTCTTCTCAGCTTCATATAGTTTCTCTGTTAGCTCCTCAACCTCTTTATTCTTATTTCCCTGAGAATTCCTTTCAGTATTCAGTTCATTTTCAACTTTTCAGAGTTTATTAATCAAATCTTGTTTAATTTTGTTTGAGCTTCTTATTTCGTCATCTAACTCTTTTCTTTCAGAATCCAAAGTGTTTTGAAAATCTTTAATTATGTACATGAAATGTCTTCAATACGTTCTCTAGTTTCTTTATTCTCCCTTCTTAGATCTTCAACAAGTTCCTCGTTAGCATGATTTTCATAAAACATATTCACATATTTGTCTTTATAATTCTGCAGACTTTTCACCGATTCACAAACCTTTTCTTTCAAATCTTTATTTTCATTCTAAAAAAATGATGTCATTTAAAAAGTCCAAGATTGATCAAAAAGAATCTATGCAGTATATGAAATTGATCAAAGAATCACTTTCCAAAAATATCTCACAAAAATATCACCCAGATAAAAAAAACCAGTCTTGGCAAATTTTCCAGAAAATTCAAAAAATATTCGAATTGAAAAACTAGACAAAAATAGTCAACAAGAAGTAATCACAATTTACAAACAAAACAGTCAAAAACTGCTCAAGATACAGACTAAACACCAGTAAAAAAATAGTATCTGAAAAAATTATGAATTTGAACAGGATTGAATCCAAAAATCTCAAAATTCTCAAAAATTAAGAAAAAAAATGATCAAAGAAGATGAGTCCGGTCAAGAATGTAAGCAAGATAAGCTAAATCTCGAACAAGGTGGTACCCAAGAAATGAAGCAAAACAGCTAAGTCTTGAAATCCGGACAAGGTGATATGCAAGGAAGTCTAATACGGTTGAAGGTGACCAAGATAGCAATCCGGACAAGCTATGTATGGCTAAGGAAACTCTGAGCTTGGACAAGGTTGTGTCCGAGGAAGAAGTCCGAACAGCCTTGATGTCCGAGGATGATGAATCCGGGTAAGCCTGTTGCCGAGGAAGCTAGAGCTCGGCTAAAAGGGTGACCGAGGTAGCTTGAATACGGACGCAAAGATGACCGAGGATGCCTTGAACTTAGCCAAGCTGGTGACCGAGAATGGTTAAATCGGATAAAGCAGCTTCCGAGGAATGACTTGAATCCGGATGAACCTGTTTCCGGATATGCTGATCGAGTCTAATCCGCATGAAGGGTGTCCGGATAAGGGTTGTATCCGGCTATGTCTTTGACCGATAATAGCTTAAATCCGGCTAAGGGGTATCCGGGGATTGGCTTGAAAATGGTTAAGACTTGATCTCGGTTATGCCATTGTCCGAGAAATGTTAAGTTCTGCTAAAAAAAGGTATCCGGAGATGGAATGTATCAGATCAAAAATCACTACAAACACAAAATTTTAAACATTTTTTCACCAAAATGGATCAAAATCCAGATTTTATGAGTTTTTGACAAAGAACACAAAATTTTCAGAAATCACAAATTTCATCAAAACTTCAAAACGAATGATCAAAACACAAATTTTTGTGAATAACAAAGATTCACGATCCAAAAACGCACACAATGATCATCTTTTTAACATACAAACACCAAAAAATGAAAGATTTGAGTAGAGGTTTTTGAAAAACATGATGAACACTTCAAGGACATGTTATGAAGATGACGAACAAAATACGAATTTCCAGAAAGTTTTCAAATTTTTGATGATTTATTCAAAACAATTTCACTGCATCAAGCTCTGATACCAATTGTTTGTTCTTTATCTTCAATCAATCTTCAAGAACAATGTAAATGGCAATCTTCATGAGATGAGTTTAGACAGAAAAAGTCAACTTGGTCAATATGTATATTATTTCTCTCAAAATACAATTACATGTAACATTACAATTAAGCTCCTTACTAACACTAAAACTCCCTTACAAGACCTATTTATAGGTCAACACAAAGTACACAAGTCAAAGTCAACAAAAGACTTACAACGTCAAACTCTATAGAAATACAAATATAGCCTTTCAAAATGAATACAATTAACTTTAGATTTCAATCGTAACAGCATGGCCACTGACCAAACATATATGGCTAGTTTAAGATAAGAACTTGCGACACAATTAATTGAAAATAAATATTGATTCTAGTTGTTATGAGACTTTCTTCGTGTTTTCTATTGTGTGTTAAATCAATTGACGTATTTCAGTTGAAATTTTGAATGTGTTAAAAATATATGATAGTTTACAAATGGTTTATATTTCAGACTTCAGACGTTTGTCAGTTTACAAAAACAAACAGTCTTATTGATTCAGATTTCAGACTTCAGACATAAAAACAAACAGTCTAAGTGATTTCTATTTCAAACTTCAGACGTAAAAACAGATAGTCCTACTGATTTAGATTTTAGACTGCAGCACCACCTCTTAAAAATCAAAAGCGAAATCAAAATTCATACTTCAACACCTCTTAAAAAACAAATGCCGCCTAAGACGTTTGGTATTCAGGTATGTTTGCATGTATCTTTCGTCAAACGTTAAATGCTTGACAAAATTAATTTTTGGGGCAAAAAAAGTTCTAATTAACTTTGGGGACTGAAATTATGACTTAGGGGCTGTTTACCAAACCCTTATCCGGGTAAAAGCTTATCAAGTCACATTACCTTACCGGATGAATATGGAAGGACCAAAAATCTTACCTGGTAAGAGCGAAGGTAAGGACCGAGAGTCTTACCCGGTAAGTGAGGACGACGACTCTTACCACGGTTAGTGCTTACCGAGTAAATTGTTGCATACGATTTCATTTTGACCTTAACCAGTAAGTAAGTAATAATGTTGAATTTTACCCATAAAATCTTGCTCAGTTAAACGTTTGATAAACGACACCTTAGATGACTACAAGGACCATATTGAAATATAATTAGAGGGATCAAAGGGTAGTATATGCCATGAAGCCAAATGCCGAACGAGCTCCCTGGATAGAAATAAATTGGGAGTTTCAGATTAGGTTCACTTCATTTTCCTTCTCGACACCCATACTGCATTGCGGCTAGGGTTTCACCAAACCCTTTTTATCTCTTACACACTCTCTGAAAGATTCTAGGGTTCTTGTGGGTTAATCGATCTGAATTAGATATGACGAATTCGAACTCGAATTAGGTTTGTAGCTGTTGCGAAAACTAACGTTTTATCAAAGGGTTCTTCACTGTTCGAATAAAGGAAACAATGGCGACTGCGAACCCTTTCGATTTGCTCGGAGATGATGATAACGATGACCCTTCACAGCTCGTTGAGAAGATCGCTTCTGCACCGGCTAAGAGAGTTCAAGCCGCTCCTCCTACCGGTAAAGCGGCTGTGCAGTCAGCTAAGCTTCCCTCCAAGCCTCTTTCTCCAGCTCAGGCTGGTAAGTGTCTGAGCTATATTGATCTATGTCTCTGATATCTGGTTTTTAACTCGATCCAATTTTGTATTATGATTTGATGCGTACTTGGGGGTATAACGATTGCGCATGTCGGTTACTATATTAATTGGTTGTGTACAAATGGTGAACACTATTGAAAATGACCATCAATTTCTTTATCATTATTCTAGAGGAAAATTTGTGTAGTATAATGTTTTTGGATCATAGCATGCTAAAAAGGGTAATTTTTGGGTACTGTAACTGGTTTTGCTTCTTAATGGTCCCGTTTGAGTCTCCCGTGGCCACTGGAGGTTTTCCGGGATGTCAAGTTCAGGGTCCATGAGATTAGTTGCACGCAAGCTTTACTGAAACCCAAGGTTATAAAAAAAGGTTGAACTGAAAATGTACGCACCCCATTTTGTCTAATCAGCCGCATTGCTGCATGTTACTAAATAAGTTGGAGAGGTGGTTTTAATGCCAGCATTGTGACTTTCGACTTTATAAGGATCTTGTGTAAGATAATGATTTTGTTTTTCAATCTATATCTTTGGCTGCTGTTAACATGATTTCTGGTGCGCTTTAATATTTTCTGTACAAATATAAAAGAATTATTTCTGAGCAGTGAAAGAGGCCAGAAATGAAGGTGCGCGTGGAGGGCGTGGTGGTCGTGGGTTTGGGCGTGGTCGTGGTGGGGGTACTTTTAATAGAGACTCGGGCAGCAGCGAGAATTCATTTGGTAATCGAGGATTTTCTGGTGATCAAGGTGCCGTTGAGGAGTCAGATGCTGGGAAAGCTTATGAGAGACGTGGAGGTTATGGTGGTGCTCGTGGTGCTTTTCGTGGTGGCCGCCGTGGGGGTTTTAGTAATGGAGATGTGGAGGATGGAGAACGTTCGCGCCGACCATATGAACGTCGCAGTGGGACAGGGCGTGGGTAAAAGCTCTAACTTTGATCTTTAATCTGTTTGATATGCTCTTTTCTAATTTCAGTCTTTCAATCATTGGAAATATATCTAGTTTTCTTCATGTGTTATTCTAATCACTTCTAATCTCATGTATAGGAATGAGTTCAAACGTGAGGGAGCTGGTCGTGGGAATTGGGGAACCCAGGCTGATGAAATCACTCAGTATTCCTTTCCACCTTTCATTTAATCTTCAGAATGTCTCCTTGTTTGTTGCTTTTCTTTTGCAAGCCAGGGGTCTTCATGGGAGTAGCCACTCTGCCCTCTGGGGTAGAGGCATGATCAATGTACATTCTACCCCCACACCCTACCTTACCTTGGTGTATAATATACTGTTTTCATTTGGTTTGGTTTATTTAATCTTCAGAATCCTCTGCATATGGTTATATTATATGCTCTGTGTTAGTAATGGTTACTTTACTCCCTTCCAGGGAGACCGAGGAAGTGGTGATTGAAGGGGAGAAAACTGTGGGTTCTGATAAACCGCTGACTGAGGAAGTGGCAACAGATGAGAGAAAGGAGAATGCTGCAAACGAACCCGAGGACAAGGAGCCTGAGAATAAGGTCATCATCTTTATTCCCAATGGCGTTTCGTTTTGCTGGGCAGTTTTTATAGACCTATTAATGGCAATAAAGGCAAAAGTCTAAAGAAAGGCGGAGGTCTTTCATGGAAACAACCTCTCTACCGTTTAGGATTTGGAAAGATCTGCTTACATCCTACCCACATGCCTTACCTCTGTGGGAGTTAATGGGTGTGTTTGGTTTGATTTGATAAAGGCAAAAGTAAATCTAAAAATATGGCAATCTGTAGGTGGAAATGATACAAAACTGAAAGATGTTAGGAAGTAACTGTTTCTTCTGCTAATTCCCAGTAACCTTTTTTTGTTTGCTGTACTAACAGTCTTTCTCTTTTTTTGTTGTATGCAACCCCAACCCAAAAGAAACATAACATGTTTTTTTATTGAGATGTGCCATGGGGACAATATTAATTTAATTGCATATTGGAGTTGATAGTAATCATAAATAAAGTAGTTGAAGGGAAATAATGTGAGTGTATCATGATGGGTTTTGACTAGTGAGGGTGTTCACAAATAGTCTTTCACAAATACTCTTTTAGGTAGAGGTCAAGTCAACATAAAGGGTGTTCATGGGTTGGGTTGATCAAGTTGAAGTCATTGAATAACCCAAATCAATGTTTGCGGTTTGCAAAATCTCAACCCAACCCAAACCAAAGTGCAACCCAACCCAAACCGTACGGGTGGGTGGGTTGATACTTTGGTAAATCAAAACATTCTTCTAATATTGAATATGTTATTTCCACTACTCATAATTCCTTTTTTTCATTAGTCATTTGCTACAACTTGCCCATACTGCTTGAATCTTAAGTATAACACATTTAACTACTTTTCTCAATTTGCATTTATATATACACACACACACACAAAGGAGCGATATAGAGATAGAGAAGAGAATGAAAATATATGTATATGAAGAGGGTATGTGATCGTGTAATTGTTTAAAGTACATATTAATAGCTATGCTGTTAAAATCGCGATATATCGGATATCGGTCTCTGGAAAAATACGGGTGGTGAAATATCGGTTCCAATAATATCGCCGATATTTACTGATATTTCACTGATATTTTGATGGAAAAAAGGGTCCGATATACAAATTTTCTATAAGGCAAGTGTTTGGGCTTTTTTTATTACATGTTGGGCTTAGTTTTTTGGGCCTCTTTATTTGGTCAACTGGACAACACATACATTAGGTCTCACGCTTGTTCTCTTCTCGGTTCTTCACAATTCACGCTTCTCTTCTCGGTTCTTTTGCAGTTCACGCTTATTTCTTTTCTCGGTCTCCTTCATCTTCACGGTCTGGCTTCTTTTCTTTTCTCGGTCTCTTTCTCTTCTTGGTCTCTTTCTCTTCTCCAACAAATGATCAAGTCTCACGAAGAAGTGAACGTATTATATGATGTTGACTCGGATGCCGAACCTATTGCTTGCGATTAGCTCGTTTTTGAACACTTTTCTTATTTTGTTTTGTGAGACTTGTTTATGTGATGTTTTAATATTGAAACTATATTTCTAAACTCTAATTAATGCATATGATATGTTTATGGATGCATACATGTATAATATATATATATATATATATATAATTCTAAGAAATATTATGTTAATTGCTATTTTGGACCGATATAACCGAAATATCGAATATCGGTCTTGACCGATATTTTGTATTTTGACCGCAGTAACAACATAGATTAATAGTGACTTAGCAATCATATTAAATCTAAGAAATAAAAGGATATCGGGTTGGTTTAGCTGGGTTGGTTGGGTTTTTGAGTACCGTAGTCAACATATATTCCATTCTATTATTCCATTCTATTTGGCTGTTTGGTTTGGTTTTGTTTATAGGCATTGACTAATGGTCAAGCAGGGAACCTTATTTATTTGTATATAGAACTGAATCTTTTGGTTCTTGTGGGTGGATTGGGTATTTACACGTGTCGTAACCATTTTTCCTTTTTTTAATTGTTTATGTCATCATTTTTATCTTGCTTATTATCATGGGAGTAGTTGTGAATTCTTTTATCTACTATTACTGATCTGTAAGCCAAAATACAAAGCTATCTTGGCTGTTGACTAGTAGCCAAGTAGTGAACTTACACTATTAGTGAACTGGATGAACTAGTACTGTATCTATTGTGATTATTTTCTGTGTCATATTTATCCCTTTTTTCATCATTCAATTGACATCAAGTTTGTTTATCTTGTTCACTTGTGTTTTATGATTGGATCCTGAAAATGAGCATAATTTTTGAAGAGATTCATTTGTGTTAAGTCAGGGGCAGTTTGGTTGGTTGGTTTTCCATTAAGTCCTATATGGATAAAGCTGACTGTATGGATTGGGAGGGTTTTTGTCTAGGAGGGTTTTTTCATAGATGGAAGGAACATGTTTTTAATTGGGAGGAGCAGGTTTGGAAAAACTTGGCTTTTTGCGTACAGCCTCCCCCCCTAAGAAGCTTACTGAAGAAGCCATTTTTTATATCAATAAGCGACTACCAAACAGTCATGTATAGCTGATGGAATAAGCCGGAAGTCCCATTAAGCTCATTAAGCTGTTAACAAACAGACCCTCAACTAGTTGTAGCAGCATTTTATAGGAAATTACAAATAGCACAGTTGAAAGTTTGCTTGGCATTGAGGTATGGTTAGGTAGCCATAGCACCCATAGATATTCCACCATAATATGTATTGAGTCATTAAGGAAGTTGAGTTTCAGTATTCTTTATGAACAGGTATCCATAACACACCATAGATATTCCACCATCATCTTTTTGAGGATTTGTGACATTTTATTTGACAAACCGATTCCTATTTGGAAGCTCTATTCTTTTTGATATCTTATTGAGCGGAAGTAACACTCTGCTATATTGCTGAATTAGCTTCTTCCTGGTTCCTACATACTTTTTATGTAGACAGCCTGTGTCACACGACAATTTGCATATTAGCTGATTGTTTCTTTTGTGGCTGTTTGTCATCTTTATATCTTGTGATTGTTAGAGAGTTTGGGGAGTGTTGAAGGGGCTGCGTTCATTCTTTTAGATGAATTGGGATTTATTGATCAAAATAGTCGATGATAGTTGGCTTGATTGAAGAAAACAGTGGTCAAGGTTCTGTAGTGTGACATTACTTTTTCTGTTCTTCTGTGTCTAGTTCTTTTCGAGGACTGCAAGTTTGGTGTTTAGTGCTGTGGACAGTGATTTTATGGTGACTTTAGAATGGCGAGTTTTCAACTTGAAAGGTCAATAGAGTGGATTATTAAGGGGTAGCTACTTAATTGTCGAATGTCTTCTATGTTGAGAATTATGGGCCGAGCAGGATTAAGTTTTTTAGTAAACAAATTATCTGGGAAACTGATTAGATAACTGAAAGGTAGGTGTGAAGCTAGTTGTGGTTTCAAGTTTTAATATGTGAGGCCTAGGTTCTGGTGAATCAGTGGTGCCCCGTACATGCTCTTAGTAAGGTATCAACTGTATAGTCGTAGAGGAAGACCCAACAGATGACGGTATTTTGTGTCATAAAAATGCCAACCCTTGTATTTAGCCAACTTGAGATTCTTCAGTTTGTACTTTTACACTCTGTTCTTGAATTTGGGAATAAAAGAAAAGAAAGGAAGTGGAGGTAGAAAAGAATGGAATAGAATGAAATATTTTTATTTGTGTTATTGAGAGGGAAGGAAACAATTTTTACGTGTTCTTGAACCGGAGAGAAAGGAAAGAAAAGATGTCATTTTTACAAATATACCATTTATATTTGTTTTACTTTTTTCCTTATTTTTTATACGAGGGTATTTTTATCATTTATTTTCCTTTTCCTCCTAAAAAGTTTCGAGAAAACGACTTTTCCCTCTCTTCAATGAAGAGTTTTCGAGACCACAGATCTTCTATATGTTCATTCAGTGTTCTAAAAAGCGTTAAGCAGAGCTAGGCAGTCGAAACCTTCTAGTGCTTAAGCTAAGCAAGTATTAATTAAAAAAATCATTTTGGATTTTATACAACACTGCTTGTGTAGTTAAGTAGTTCCTATGCGTCTGTGAGCATTTTACCGACCTTTTTTTATTCAGGAGATGACTCTTGAAGAATATCAAAAGGTTCTGGAGGAGAAGAGGAAAGCTCTGGAGGCACTCAAGACTGAGGAAAGGAAGGTGGAAGTCGACAAAGAGCTTGCATCCATGCAACAGCTCTCCAACAAGAAGAGCAGTGATGACATTTTCGTTAAATTGGTGACAATTTATTATTGTTATTATTATTATTATTATTTTAATTTCTGAATGTTTTAATTTTACATTCTGCAATCGTCATTTTACTAACCAGTTTGTATGAATTTTTCTTAATAGGGGACCGACAAGGATAAGCGTAAAGAGATTGCTGAGAAAGAAGAGAGAGCCAAGAAGGTAATACTTGTTTCTGATCATACATTGTTGTAGATGCTCATATTAGTGAATATCATTTAACCGGAAAAAGGAAGCGGTTTTTCGCACAGCTTGCACATAGTGCAGGTCCCACTTAGTCGATCTGGTGATCAACAATCTCTGAAATGAAACTAGTACATTTTTTTGTTTTCTTAGCAAACTGGGTTGCAACCTGCTTTTGTGACATTATTTATGGTGCCAATGCTGCCTAAAATCTCCGCCCCTTCCGCAACCTGCGCCATATTCAGGGGCGGACCTAGGACGGGTGCACCTTTCAAGTGGATCAAAGGTCCGTAAAGTCGTCCGATGTGTTTTTAGCTGAATTTCACTGTTTTGAGGGATGTTTTAAGTTTTTTGGTTAATTTTAGATATTTTAAATTTTTTTCAAAACAAGTGTCCATTTTCAAAAGTAGTTATGAAATTCATTACTCCTATTATTAAATATAAAATATTATTTGGTTAGTTAAATGGTGTAATAATTACACATCTCTAAAACAGTCTTTTTAATCGTGGACGTTTATTTTGGGATGGAGGGAATATTATTCAGCTTGTTTAATTTTGTTTTGGTGTTCTTTGCAGTCTCTGAGCATCAATGAGTTTTTGAAACCTGCGGTGGGTGAAAGATATTACACTCCAGGTGGTCGTGGTCGTGGGCGTGGCCCTAGAGGTGGTGGTCGGTTCAGCCAAGGTGGGTCGTCTTCAAGCTATGCACCTGAAGCTCCAAAGATCGAAGATCCGAGCCACTTTCCGACTTTGGGTGGCAAGTGAGTTATCTGCTTTCTTCTCCTATCATCACCATCATCATCTGCAAACACTTGATAGAATGAATGGCAGAAGAAGCATACTAGAATGAATAATGGAATGGAGTTCTTCTATGTATCCCAAAATGGTTTTCTTAAAACTTGTCAGAACTGTAAATTTATTTTGTTTTTCCATGTATTTCTTTCTTTCTTTCTTTCTTTATAAAGTGTTAGAGATTTTGGTTGGGACATATGAAGGCGGATTAATTTGTTACTTTGAGATGCTTTGTTTTCTCAGTTTTGTTTTGGAATAGATGGATGACAGTTTCTACCTGTTTTGATGTGCTCTTCGTTCTTGGACAATCCACTACCATAATACCAAATGGTGGATTGCTAAAGTGACATGTAGATGAAAATGGCCGGCTGGTGCTACACCAACTTAATTAACAAGTTACGGGTTTGATAAATTTATTGGATGAATTGCAGTTAGTGTTCTAATTTTGTATCAAGACCTTTGTCTCTCCCTCTTACAGACGTTAATTGTATTTGTTAAGTTGAAGGCATTTAGTCTTCAACAGCTATACAATTTTAAGAACTTTGGAGGTTTAAAGTTTGCTCCAAGGCAATTTCTAAACCAACTTCTACAACAATTTCAAGTTGCAAAAGCCAACATTTAGTCAGGATTTCTTTTCCGTCTTTTCCTTGTTCCACCTTTTCGGCTGATAATGGAGTTCTTGAGTCGATGATGGGGAAGGGGGACAGACGGCAGCTAACAGGGTAGGGTTGTCTATTTTTGGTTTTTCTATTTTACCTGACGGTTTGTACCTCAGCTACAAGGATTTGTACATTAACTTTAATTTTTAAAAATGATGTAAATTGACTAAAATACCCCTCACATGCTAGAGTAAGTTACACCTTTGGTTCCGGTGGTTATCACTTTGGGGCCGTTTTCTTAAACGCTTACCCGGTAAGTACTTATCGGGTAATTTTTCTCACTGGATGAGCATGGCAAGAGCCAAGAATTTTACCCGGTAAGAGCGATGATAAAGATGAAGAGTCTTACCCGGTAAATGAGGGCGATGACTATTACCCGGGTAAGTGGTAAGAGCGATGATAAGAATGGAGAGTCTTACCCGGTAAATGAGGGCGACGACTTTTACCTGGGTAAGCGCTTACCAGGTAAATTGTTGTATATGATACATTTTGATGTCATACAATCTTACCCAATAAAATAAAATTATAGTGTTAACTTCTAACGTTGAGCACTAATACCATATAAACATTTAGGTAAATGACCCCTTACCATCAAGTCTAGTCTTTATTTTAAACATTTAGGTAAATGACCCCTTACCATCAAGTCTAGTATCTATTTTACATCAATTACACTTTTGATCATTGTAGTTGCCACTTTATTTTGCTTCTAGTTCCTGTGGCTAACGACTGATAACATGATCCGTTAACTCAAAGACATTTTGCAACAATTTTTCATTTATTTAATTTAGTTATTAATTTTTTATTTCTATATTACGTATATCCATCCATCCCATTTCTTCCCTGACCGTAGACCTCGCCAGGTACTATGGTTTTGTCGGTTCTATTATTTTTTTGTCACCTTCTCTGAGACTCTGGCCCTTTTGCAACTCCACCCTCTTCCCTCGATCCGGATATTTTACTAAGTCAAACAACAATTTCGGCACCTCTTTGTCCACCATTTATCATGCATATTTCTTCTCGCATACGTACCATTCTCATACATGCACCCATTTATGGCGCCCTTCCCTTTTCACACCATACACATACACACACTGAATTTGAGTGTTTTTCAACATATTAAAACTATAACGAATCACTGACTTCCTTTCATGTTGCATACAAACACACACAAACAATATTAAAGCAAACCCAAAAAAACTCCAGAACAATCAAAGAGTGAATAAACCCAATTTATTTGTATTCTACTATAGTCTTAATTTTTCTTCTTAATAAAAGAAAGAGATATGCAATAGTGATTCTACGCGCACCAAAACTTATACACACATCCACAATGTTTCTAACATGTGCATCATGCATGTGCACACACACATGGTGGTTTACAAACACAAAAAAAAAGAGACAAAAGATGGTGGTTTTGCCGTTGGAAGGTCGCTGGAGGGGTAGGGGGGGGGGGGGGGGTTCTCTAGGAGTTGCGTTGATGAGGGTCACAATAGCTAAGGTGAGAAGCGTAAGAAGAGATCTGAACCCTTGATCCCCTTGAATCTCAAACTCATTCATGAATCACATAGCAATTGATTTGGTGCATATCAGTGCTTCTCATCTCGGCGCATCTCGTCCTAATGTGTATCAAAGGGTGAAGCTCCCTCTTAGAAGATCTTCTAAGCTTAACTCTTCTTCTCATCCAACCCAATCCTGTTTGATAGTTGTTGGGTTTAAGCTGTGCTTAATTGTTGTATTCAAGATTTTCTTCTTTGTAAATTTTGTCTTAGTTGCTTTGTAGGTATAAATAGGTTTCTTTATTGTAATTAGTGGTAAGGATTCTCATTTGTATTATTCTTGAAGTTTAATACAATTTACTTTTGGCAAATTCTCTCAAAGTGTTCATCTTTTCTACTTTGTTTGTTTACTAATCTGATTGAAGAATCCGTGTTAGGATTGAATTTTTGAATTTAATTGTATTCATTCTTGAAAGTTGACTTTGTATTTCTTGTATTTGATTTGACCTATTTATAGGTTTAGATTAGTAGTGAGTTAGTAGTAAGAGAGCTTAATTGTCATTACCTTTTGTAATTGAGCTTTGAAGATAAATACAAGCCTTTGACCATTTGACTTTTTCTCTCAAATATCATAATCTTGAATATTGCTATTTATCGTGTAATTGAAGAATATATGAAGATTGATTGAATATTGGGACTTTCAATTGGTTTCAGAGCGATCTGCAACATTATTGGTTGAAGAAATTGCCAAATTTTCGAGATTTTTTCTACAAATTTCTGGAATTTCATTTAAATGTTCTTCATGTTCATATTTTGTTCTTGAGAGTTTCTTCAAAATTTTCATAAATTTCATCTCAAATCTTTCATTTTTGGTCGTTTGATTGATAAAATCATGATCATTGTGTGCGTTTTAATGTTTTGAATCATTGTTATTCATACAATTTCGTGGATTGATCATTCATTTTGAAGATTTGAAGAAAATTTTGGATTTTTGAAAAAGTTTTTGTTCTTGATATTATTCATAAAATTTTGGATTTTGATCCTATTTTGCTTAAGATTTCATGAAATTTGGTGTTTGTCTTATAATTCTTTGACCATATTAAGTGTAAATCGGTCACCTTTTTATCCCATTTTGAGGTGGATGGTTTGAAGTCAATTATGGCTGCTATATTTTGGGTCTAAATCGCTTGGCACTTAATCCCATTTTGTCCTTAATCGGGCATTAGTTTGACCGGAATTTGCATCCTTATAAATTTCTAGGAATTGTTTTATCATATTAGATTGTTGGATTTGTCAAGTTGTTTGGAGTTTGCTTATGAAGTAGCTGCTGTTAATAATATTTTAAATTTTGTTGGATGCTTTCCTTTTTCATGCAAATTTCCAGTTGCCAATTTTGGGATTAATTAGTGGTAAATCGGACACTTCCCTATCCGATTTGAGACTGTGTTTTGTGGTCTAAGTGATTTTGAAACCTTGGATGATCTCTTTGACCGGATTTGTATTTTTTTTTGAAAGACAATTTTGGCGGTTTTTGTAATTTTTTTTGACCTTGTTGTCCGTATTTGATCTCCGGACAACATACTTAGTTTAGTAGCTGTCTTGTTCGGATATCCTATTAATCGGGCATCTCCTTGTTCGGACTTTGCTGATAATTGGTCGTAATATTGTCCGAGTTTGCCATAAACCAGATATCATTTTGACCGAATTATGAGTTTCTTGTGATTGTGATTAAGTCTTGCTTGGATAATATAGTGTCCGTATTCATTGAAATCGGAGCCTTCCTTGTCCGATATTGTTGTAAATCGGTGGTAACTTTGTCCGGATTTGATATTGTTTGTTGTTCTAATAAGTTTGGTTTTGTGAGTTTTTGTACAAGTGTTGAATTTTAATTGCAAAAGATATTGTGTGAGATTTTTGAGATTATTTTTGGATTGTATTTCTTTGATCGATTTCCTGAACTGTGGAGATTCTTTGTTTGATCAATCGTGATTTTAAATGACATCAATTTTTGAGAGAGAAAATAAGGATTTGAAAGAGAATGTTTCTGAATTGGAGATTAGTCTGAAATAACAAAAAGAAAAATATGTGAAAGTGTTTTCTTGAAAATCATTCTAACTTGGAATGAACTAAAGAGTTGAATCAAGAGATAAAGAAATTTGAAGAAGAAAACCTTCAAGCTGAGATTGATGCACTTCTTGAAAATGATTATTATTTCAGTGGAAGTCGAAAGAAAAACTTTGATTTGCTAAAGAACAGTTCTAATCTGACATCTAGAATTTATGAACTTGAAAAGATTTTGGAATCTGAAAGAAAAGAGTTAGATAAAGGATAAAGCAGAGCAAAGTGAAGCATGAACTGATAGAGAAAATTCGTAAAGCTGAAAATGAACTGAATGCTGAATTTTTTCAAGGAAAGGAGAATGATGAGTTAATAGAAGCTGATAAGAGATATGATGTTGAAAGGAAAGTGTTTGAAAGCAAAATAAAAACATTAGAACTAAATGTCACATTGCTTTCAAAATAAATCTCAGATTTTGAGCAGGTTATCATCTTGGAACGAGCCAAGTTTGATAAAGAGAAGAAAGAGTTGGAGGAAGAATGTCAAAGAAAGCATTTAGAGAATTTTGACAGCATTGCTCAAAAGCAGAAATATGATAACCGGATCCTAGTTATCATCCGAGGTAATTAATGTGTGATTGTTTATTAAATGATTACGTGACAACATGATAAATTGTTATATTTGATCATGCCAGTATGTGAAATTATATGCATAAATGAGTATGCATTTGTGTGGGCATAATTATATACATGATAAAATACATGCATAGGTACGTATATGTATATATATGGATATATGTATGATATATGTGCATTAATGGGTGTGTATATATATATATATATATATATATATGAATATATGCATGTATGCATGTGAATGCATGCATGAATAGCGCGGTTTAGCCACCATACCTCTTTTGGAAGGGTATAAAAGGAGGGTGAGGCCTCCAATTCTCTCTTCTTGCTATTTGAAAATCATAGTGTGCGATTCAAAGAAGGGAGTGTTGATCGGATTGCTTATTTCCAAGATTTCCAGTTGATTTTTAGAAGTATTCAAGGTGAGTGGTTTT